AGAGAGGGGGAAGGGATCTCCAGCTGGGTTGTTCATACCATGCTGAGTCAGGTCCAAGGGTGGAAACCTTTTTTACTTTCTCTTTGGCTTTTTGGTGGCGGGAAGCACATGGTCGGGTTTGTTCCCTGACCATTTGCGGTATTTCTCTGTATATTGTTTGTCTTGCTTACTGTTACTGCTGTTTATTGTTGTTATCATTACCACTGTTGTTGTTGTTCAGATTGTTTATCACACTGTTGTATTATATTTCTTCTTATTTTAACCTGGGGTTTGTGCCTCACTGCCAGCCTGACTGGCTGCGGGTGGGGGAGGGGCAACAGCAATGTGCTCTCCGGTCCCGACAGGGCTTAAACCACCACACTGTTCTATATTGAAAATTCAGAAAGGTAAAAGTACTATAATTTAGAACATGCACATGAACTATGCATGTGATGGGCATACCAACAACCCATGACTTTTTATCACACCAATTGCTCTCACTGCCAGTTACACCCAAAAAATAAGGTAGCATGACATACCTGGATATATGAGGATTAATGACAGAACGCAGAGACTTAACATCTCCTGGAAACAAACAAAACAAAACAACAATTTGTAAGACTGGTCCTAATGTAGAAGTAATAGAGTTTAAGAAAATTTAATATATTTAAGAACACTCCTAAAAAACTTAAAAAAAAGAAAAAAAGGACTCATGACAATCCATAATCTCTAGAAGCTCAAATTTCTAAAGATATCTACTTAATTTTCATTAATAAATAATCAATAAATATCTCTCTCTCGTAGGAAAAAAAAGAGAATATCTTCAAAACAGCTGTAAGTTAGAAACAACAGGAAAAAGCCATGGAAAAGTATCATTAGCACAGTAAAATCTTACTCTGCAGAAGCAATAAAAAAACATGCCACAGTTCAAGACAACTGTGACAACTGTTCAACAACAATCATGTGAACCAGCTATTACAATACCAAATTTCAGAAGTAATTTCACCTTTAAACACAGAAGCTAGACAGCATAATTCTCAGGGTAAAAATGCAAACTGACCTAGGTTAAGAAAACATGGGACAGAGGAGTTTTAAATGTGTATCTCTAGAAAGGTATTTCCTCTCTCACACCCTATTTAGTTGAAAATAAGCTGCCAAACTAGATTTTCATGAAACTAATCCATAATTTGCTTATTCAAGCCATTTAAATTGTGTTTCAGGAACCCACTTTCCTAGCACTTTATATTTGACAGGCCAAACAGAATTCAACAATATTAAAACTAACATTCCTTCACCATCTACAGATCATCCGTCTTATCAGAAAGACATTAAAAAAGCATATTACAGCTTAATGGCTCCACAAGGAGAAAGACTGATCTTAAGAGAAACAAGGCAGCAGGCTGGAAATTCACCACCACACACACACCCCCCATCCCCCCCCCATAAGAACTCCAACTAACACTGGCTTTTTTTCCCCAGTTTCTTAAAATAACCCACAAAGTAACACATTAGTATGTTTGAGATTTCTTGCTCATCTATACCACAGTATCTTTTTGTCTATGGAATGAACTTTTGCATCCATGTGACACACTGAGATATTTAGCACAGCAAAACCAGGGATAAATACAGTAGACAGCAAGGACATTGCATAGATGATAAGTATTAGAAGTGTGGGAAAAGTAAAAGAGAAAAATCTGTAAAACACACATTTCCTTGACACAGGGTGCCCAGAACAAGCACAGGACGGGATGGAGGTCCAGTGATTTGTGTTTGTCGTGGTGCCAAGGAGGAATGCAAAGCAAGGTGGAGGCTGTGTGGTCCCATTCTTTCACTTACCTCAAGGGATGGTTTTTGCAGTAGCCTGCCGGCCTTGTCTCTCATCCTCCCTCTTTTCCCACAACAAAACAGTGTACCCCTGGCACCAAGGAATGTGCTGTGTTGTTACTCAAAAGATAATGGCTTGACTGCAGTCCCACCCACTCACACATACACACTAAGATAAATACTACCCCAAGTTTGTATCTAACTTGGAGAGATGATAATCCGACACCAAACTGGAGGGACAGATCAACAGAGCATCAACGGGTTTGTGCTCCTCACCCCCACCCAGAAGGGACACCTTTTGGTAAGATTCGAGCCCTCAGCTATGCTGAGTGATTACCCAGGAATTAAGTGTGTGTATGATTGCAATCGTTTTTCTTTTTGTGTAGTGCTATATTGCCAACCTGCAGTTTGTACATTTATCATAGGCAAGCTCAAAGACTCTGCAGATGTTGCAAAAAAATAAACTGTACTATTGACGCATCTGATGTCAGACCTATAGTGATGACCAATAAACCATACTATTTGTGAACCTGACTACTTCTCTTGAATGCAACCGGACCTACAGCCTATGGGCTGTTTGTGTATCTGGTGTCAGGCCTATGGTTACGGTCCCAGTTGGCATACCTATTAAGACATAAATCCAGCCACCCCAGCCCCTCTAATCTCTGAGGACTGGCTAGAATGCAAGGGGATTCATCTCTTATCAAATTAATTCCCCCCTTAAATGTAACAACAGACAACAAGACAGAAACAGTAATAAGTAGCAACAGAGACTGAGTTGACATTAGCAACTGAGCAGGTGTTCCTAGGTACATAACTGGAGGTTAAAGACTTTTGCTAGGATATACAGTGCTGAATCCATTAATTATTTTTTTTCTTTTAAAAAGAGAAGTTGGTGATCGCCCAGTTATTAATATTTTCTTCCTGTCTCCATCGTGATGTAGAAAAGCAGCTACTTATATCAATCATTTTCCATTCAATCTCAGCGTAGCTACTCAAAAATCAGCAAAAGTTCCTTTTAATTGAATTTTTTTTTTTCCAGGTATCTTATTCTTTTTACTCTCTTTTATCCAGAACCTGCAAAGAAAATACACTAAAGATAACTTTAAAATTCTATTTAATCAGATTCCTGCCTTTCTCCCCTTGTCCAACATGCTGGCTACCATCAGTTAATTGATAACCAATTAATACTCCAGGCAACTAGACAGGGGTTCTAGCACATTTCACACCTGACCTGTCTTCTTACATATCTTTAATTTTTCTTTTTCTTATTTGCTAAAGGCTCTATGCAATACATGTACTGAGAAAAGAGCAGCACTATAAAACACTTATTTTCAGACCCTGAACCTTTTAACTGCTCTGTTTGCGTATCATACAAAAAATTCTATAAGTAATGACAAAAAATAAAACACAATTTAGAATTCTTAATCATTTTTAGAGTAATTCTTATATTAATAATTTAAACTTATACCTGGTGAACTGTAGCTTCTTACACTGCAGTTTTGCTGTGTCACACTTATGACTCTCATTTTTGTCTTCCTGAAATATACACACTTAAAAGGAAAAAATATAACACAGAATATTTATCATTATAATTTATTATTTATATATATAACTGATTATATTTGTACAGCTACATTTTTGACAGTTGTAGAAAACTAAACTGAAAAAAATACCTACAGGAACTGATAAAGTTGTTAGATATTTATGTTAGCTCAAAACACCAGCTATTTGGAAGCATGAAGATAGGAGCACTGAGGTTTAAACCAAGCCCATTCCCAGTATTATTTGGGAAGTCCGGTAAAAATCTATGATAGCATCAAAAAACATGTTGTCAATATACATGATATTTTAAATATGTCTAATTATTTGTGTAAATAATATAAACGTAACAATGACAAAGGTAAAATCACAGATAACTAAGAGTTTACAGAAAAACTACAAATTCAACTTCCACATTCTGACTTATGTGGAGTCCAATTCCAACGTGAAATTATGCCTTCTGTTTGGATTTCAATTTTTAAAGGAAAGAAGAAAAAAGTTTACTCAAAGTGACTCAACTATTTATTTTGCTTATAAACTAAGTATCAAAATGTGGGAAAAAGCCTACCTCATTGCACAAACTTGATGACTTCAGTGCATTCACCAAAAATTTTCTCCTAATTCTCAACATTTCAGCTCCTGTCTCTATCCCTGTCAAGACAAGCAAATATTGTACAAAACATTTATGACAAGAGACAGATAGGTAACTATATTACTTCCACAGAAATTAATCATGAAACTTAACTGGTTTTCAAGTTACATAAGGTTGGTATTTTTCAGGTTACTGCTTTGCAGACTACATCAGTGTCAGAACTGTAACAATAATATTATTAAACCTTAAAAATGCAGCATAAATGCATGCCCACAAACACTAAATGCATTTCTCAAATCTGCAAGCAGTAAAGGAGAAAAATTAACATCAGAGTTTGCACTCATGTTCAGATAATCTCTAGAGTACCAATTACCAATTAGCAAAGCATAAATAGCTCTGCTGATTTTGAAGGAGGAAGGGGGACAGGGAAAGGGACGTATTTGGAATAGAAATAAAAAAAATATTAAATTAGTTTTTAAGCATCGCCAAAAGCACTTCGACACAAAGTCAAGTGCAAAAACTTCAAACGCATCATTATGGTTGCATTATTATGGTATGCCGGCTGCTTATTTAAGGAGGCACCAATACTCAGCTGCGGTGGTTTTATGGTTCGTGTAGAGGTTCACAATAAATCAAAAGAAGTTTGTATGCAGGCTCACTTCTAGCCCCCCACGAGCCATACGCCCGTTTCGTAGCGCCGCCGCCGCACTCTGCTGGCCAGGACAGCAGGCCTGGAGCGGTGCCCTTCACTCTGCCCGTTACAAGGCACCGATCCCCGCCTCGCCAGAGGCCTAGGCCTTGGCGGCCGCTCCCCGCCGGCGCTCCGCAAACGGACGCTGCCCTCCCTGCCGTGTCACGAACCGCTGGCACGTTACTCCTCAGGCCTCCGCGTTATCTTCTGTACCCGGAGGAAGAGCTTTAGCAAGGCCAGGTCTGGGCTTGCGACGCTGGCGCCGCCGTCGCCCCGGCCGCCGCAGCCTCCATACAGCCGGAAGGGGCGCTCGCTCTTCCTGTCCCGGTCGGCCCCACCACTACCCGCCCCGGGTTCCGTCCACCGGCCCCGCCAGACCCAGGCGGCAAAAAGCGCCGCTCCGCCGTCCCCTTTTCCGTTTTCCTCCTCTCTTCGGCCCCACCAAGTCGGGCGCGTAGCCTTCGGGCAACGCGGACTGCCGTCTCTCCATCAGCAGGAACCAAAGGGCCGCGGGGAAGCGTTTCCAGCCGGGGCCGCTTCTCGACCGGCCGGCCCTTTTCGCTGCGGAGGAGGCTGCGGGGCGGAGGGCTCGGCGGGACGAGCGGAGACGCCGCGGGGCCGCCACCATGGTGAGAGCCGGGACGGCGGGGTACGGGCGGGGCGGGGGAAGGGGTGAAGGCGGCCGAGAGGACACCGCCGCCCTGCACCGAGG